AAGCGCTAAGAAAGTTGAGTTGATGGAGTTCGCAAAGGTTCCCGTCCTATGAAAATCGTGAAAAATGGTCAACACATCTCTCTTTAACACATTCCAAAACACCTAGTAGAACTTCATATTGAAACTGTCAGGCCTCGACGCCTTATCTCCATTACATTCATCCAAACAAGATTTAATCTCCTCTTCCGTGAAAGGCATCTCCAACCCATCCTTGCTGCTATCATATAACCTCTTGAAATTCAGATTATCAAGATTGGGCCTCTGGGTGTCTAGATATTGCGAATCTTAGATCAAATAATTTATCTCTACTAGCAAAATGGCTATGGTGCTTTCCTCGTGAACCAACTCTCTATGACATCAGTTGATTAATGGTGTCCATATAAGTGAGCGATATTTTTGGGATGGTCTTGCTGGTAGAATTATGACTCATGAAGTCCCTAGAAAGGCATTTCCCGAACCCAGCCTTGGTTAACCCATTCACCCAAATACAAGTGGGAAATGGCTCTAGGACAGTTTTTTGGGAAGATATCTGGTTGGGGGATCAACCCTTAGCCACAAAATTCATAAGGCTTTTCCAGTTATCTATTAGACATACTCTTTTCATCTCTAGCTTCATTCTTAATGTTGGTAGTAGCCTATCTTGAAATTATCATTTTAACCATAACCTATCTGATAGAGAGACTGCTAATTTGGCAACTTTATTGAAGATACTCAAACCCATACGCATGACTACACAACCAGGTTGCTGAAAATGGACCCTTAAATCCTCTGGTCTATTCACTTGTAATCTTTCTATTTTCAGCTCATAACAAAACCCAATGATACAATTCTGTATTGTCAAGGCATTTTGGAAAGCTAGAGTTCCTTCGAAGGTGAAGATATTTTCTTGGACTACTATCAACTTGAGGCTAAACACTAATTATTTGCTTCAAATCCAGCACACCCTACTTTGGGTTTAGGGTTTTGTGAAATCCTGTTTATAAGGGTTGAAGTGAGAAAAGTGAAACCGCTGTGGCAAGGTGCTATGTTTGCAGGACTCTAGTACATATGGCTAACAAGAATGATCTTCCACAATCGATCAATGTCTTCCAACAAGCTTAGTGATAGGGTTTCCTCATGGCTTCACTTTGGGTTTTGATGTGTAGATCAACTGCTGTTAGCTATCATTTGCAGAAATATAATTTGGAATTGTTAAGGTCGGAAAAGAAGAGTTTCTTTAGATAAGTAAATCAGTTTGCTGGGATGAGTTTAATTTACATTACATCAATTTGAGGAAATCTCAACCCAAGAACACAATACAATCCAAAAAAAGAAGACAATACAGTCCAAACTTTATGAATTTGATTTAGATTACATGAGTTTGAAGAAGTCTCAACCCAAGAAAATTATACAGTCGAAACTTTCGAGTTTACTTCATTTATTATCTTTACAAGTAAAAGCATAGAAATAAGATAATTTAGAGCTTCTTTTATGAGAGAAAAGGATAAAAAGTAAACATTAGAAGGACGCAAAGGGGTTGATGCTCATATAGAGAAGAAAACTTAAGGTGAGAAAATATCAAAAACCTCAAGAACATTCACCTCATCAAGGATAGAAAACCTCTTGCACAAAATTCAAAGGGTCCTTAGCCAACAATCCATTATGGTACTAGAGGAAGAGGGGTTATTATGAAAAGCATCAGAATTTATTCTGTTCAAAATGATCCAAAAAATAGAGATTGGGGCGAGAGAGGAATTTTTCTCGGTAGCCTGAATTCTGCCCATACCCAAAGCTCATCCTCAATAGACTAGCTTGTCGTGCAACCACAATTTGAGTAGATTGAGAGATGAGTCCCAAAGCCTTCAAGATTCTTAACACTAAAGCAAAAGATAGCATAAAGATTTACACTTGAGTGTGGCATAAGAGATATTTGATCGCGAAGGCTCTTTTCATCTAGTTTTTAAGAATCAAGAGTTAAAATTTTGCCCCAAGCAGCCTCTTAAGAGAAGAAAGTGATCCTAGAAGCAACTTTCATTTTCCGAATTAGTGTCCATGGGAAATGGCATAGAATCAGATTAAGCACTTACATAAGAAGGTAGAAAGATTTAACTGAGAACTTTCTGTCGTTCAATATGCTTCAAAATTGGTATGTCTTCCATCGAAGAAAGAATTGAGGTAGACTCAATGAAAGCAAGAAGGGAAATCCGCTCATCACATTCTCAATCATTGAGGTCATAAAAGAGGAGAACATATCACTAGATTCAACCATTATACAACACCAAAAAAGTCTGGAACGTTGTGTCGTTGCATCTAGCAGCAGTGACAATAGAGGGATTATAGTCCTTCAAAGTCCAACCATAAAACCAAAGATCAAATTGAGATAGACAAGATTACCATCTCCTACCTTAAGTTGAGAGGCACCCAGATTGCAACCCTAGTTTATTCCAGTCCACCTTCAGTGGCTGCGGCTGAGAGCTCGTCTACAATCCTAGGAGCCCCAATAGGTACAATCAAGATAAATTTGGCTGTAGTGAACTTCCACCGCAATGAACCCTTGCTAGAAAGAAATCGCCATTACCACTTAGCTAATATAGCTTTCTTAAGGCAAACAAGGGACCTAATCCCTATTTGCCCTATCTGCACCAATTATATTTTCTCTGCTCTTCAAAGCCATTCCATAGGAGGCAGCATGGGATGGTTTCAACTCTCATACCCATTCTGATTGGAATAAGAAAGATAGACAAGTCGTAAATGGGACAATTGGAATGAGAACTTTGATGAGCATAAGGCTTCCACTCTTAGTGGTAGTATTGTTTTAAACCTGTCAACCTCTTGTCCCTATTGGATTCCTCTTCAATTTTAGCCCCAAGAGAGAGCCCGAGATACTTGATAGGAAGAGCTGTTATTGCAACCCAAAAGGTGGGTTGACTCATTGCCGTTGGACTCATGCCCCATGAAACCCCAATTAACCTTAGTCCTGATATAGCCTAGTAGGAAAGGAGAACATATTTTATTTTAAGGACTTCTTTATTTGGCTTCAAGAGCAACAAAATGTAATTTGCAAACATAAAATGAATTATTTCCATCCTATTATCATTGTTATCCACACTGAGCCCCTCAAAGATATACACCTCTTTAGCTCTTAGCCCTGATCTATTAAAAGCTTCCATTACCAAAAAAAAAGGGGAGAGAGGAAGGGGACTCCCTTGTGTTAATCTCCTGGTTATCTTGAAGAAACCTAAAGGCCTCCATTGATAATTCAGCATTGGAAGGGATTGAGTTGCACTGCAAGATCCAATTACACTCATTATTGCTGAACCTCCTAAGGTAGAGGAGTAAAGACCAAGAAGCATGGTCATAGGCTTTCTCGTTATCCAGAAACCATTACAGAGCATATCCTACTTCCCTCGCCCCAAACACTCATTAACCAGTTACTAATCAAGGACGCAACTAGAATATGCCTACCACCAACAAAGACTGATTGTGCTTTCTTTGCCACAAAGCCCTCAACTTTCTTGATCGTTTTTGCAAGAACTTTGACAATAAGCTTGTAGATACAGGCAATCAAACTAACTGGTTTAAAATCCTTGAGGTTCGTTGCCCTCCATCTTAGGAATCAATAGCGAAAAAGTAGCAATTAAGGGATTTAATAAAATGGCCAGATTCATCGACTTCCTTAAAAATGGAATTCAAAAACTCAGGATACATTCTAAGCAATTTGATTGTTGTAATAGAGCTAGCCTTTTGATCTGGAGAGTGAAGTTTGAATTTTGGCAGAATAATCCTCAATCTTAGTTTTACTTTGTTTCATTTTGCAGAACCGACCTGCTGAGCTGATTGCTAAGTTTCTGGATGAGAAGCTGCGTGCTGGTAATAAGGGTACTTCTGAAGAGGAATTAGAGGGTACACTTGACAAAGTTTTGGTATTATTCAGGTTTATCCAGGTAAAGTTACTTCTGTGCTGAATGATGTCGCCATTTTTGCTGTTATCTGTCTCTATTACATTCAGTTTGTTTATTTTGTCATTGCATGTATCCTGATAGTTCTGTACCATATTCTTTTCTGTTAATTAAGGGTAAAGATGTCTTTGAAGCCTTCTATAAGAAGGATCTTGCAAAAAGACTCTTGTTAGGGAAGAGCGCTTCTATTGATGCGGAGAAATCCATGATCTCTAAGGTCAAAAGATATGTTGTCATTTTATAAGTCAACTTCTTTCACCAAAGGACTTTCTGTACATTGATTGCATTAATGTGTTTATCTATCTAATGCAGCTCAAGACTGAGTGTGGTAGTCAGTTCACGAACAAACTTGAAGGAATGTTCAAGGTGTGTGTTGTCTTTGATATAATTGATTCTATTAGAAATGTTTGGTTTCTTTTCTTTGTTCCTCTAAAAAATGTGTGAATGGTAGTAGTTCTTTCCCCCTTCTGAACTAGTTCCCGTACCTTCCTGTCTTCCGTTTATCAGCATTTTACGATAAACCAAAAAGAATTTATTGTCATAAGTTGAGTTCATGTTCTTCTCTTTTTTTATGCTGATGAAGTTTTTTGGTGATTTTTGTTCTCCTAAAAAGAAAAGGTTTTGGGTGATATCTGAATCTGTTAATCCTGCAATATAATTGTTAATAGTAACCTCTAATTTGCTATAGGGTTAATGAATTAAAATGAGTGAGGGAAGTTCTGTTTTTTCCTACCCCATGATGCTGTATCTCTGGTTAAGACGAGAGAAAGTTATAGACCCAGCCCTAGTTGGCTTTTTTTAGGGCCAATTTAAGTTTTTGTGCCTTTGGAGCTCTCACACTGTTTTGCTCCCGATCTAAATTGACCAAGTTTCACAAGTATCATATAATGGGTTGCAGATGTTTAAGTCTCTCTTGTAGATTGATATTGCCTGTCTTTTCTATTTTACTTCTCCAGGATATTGAGTTATCGAAGGAGATAAATGAATCGTTCAAACAATCATCCCAAGCTCGGACGAAACTACCATCTGGGATTGAGATGAGTGTCCATGTCTTAACAACAGGGTGGGTACAGATTGTCTTGCTATGTCTAATCAAGTTTGAACATAATAATACTGATATTATGACTTCAAGGACTTTGATTCAATTTTTTGTGGCTGGCTTTCAGGTATTGGCCCACATATCCACCTATGGATGTTAGGCTTCCTCATGAGCTCAATGTTTACCAGGTTTGCAATAGTTGGAAATAGATAAACATTTTCTCGTTGAAATTGATAGAGATGCAAGAAATTGTTTTAGAGACAGCTCCAGTAAGACTTACAACTGGTCTGTGTTGCAGGACATTTTCAAGGAGTTCTACTTAAGCAAGTACAGTGGGAGGCGACTGATGTGGCAAAACTCATTAGGTCACTGTGTCTTGAAAGCAGAGTTCCCAAAGGGTAAAAAAGAGTTGGCAGTTTCCTTATTTCAGGTTAGTCTTGTTAGGAGTTTTTTTTTTAATTTATTTTTGTTGGTTATTTTTTATTAATTCATTTGTATAAATTCTAATAATCAAGTGGATTTACATCTCTCTTTTTCCAGACTGTTGTTTTGATGTTGTTTAATGATGCTCAAAAGCTTAGCTTTCAAGATATAAAGGATTCTACTGGCATAGAAGATAAGGAACTTAGAAGGACTTTGCAGTCCCTTGCATGTGGAAAAGTCCGTGTCCTACAGAAGGTGAACCTAGTAACTGGATTTTGTTTCTTGCTGGCTTTAAGTTGGTAAAATTTGGGTTTCTTCAAAGTGTTTTTTGGCTTCTCTTTTCTTGGATTTGTTGTGTACTGCAGTTGCCCAAGGGGCGGGATGTTGAGGATGATGATCAGTTTGTTTTTAATGATGCATTCAGTGCTCCTCTTTATCGGATAAAGGTACATAAATCATTTCTTGGTTGCATTAGCTCAAGATGGCCAGAAATGTCTTTGCATGAGATAGATTTCCTGTCACTTTTTACTCTTTGTTTTTATTACACTAAGGTACCATTTATTGTCAGATTTGTAGATTTATTTATTGTTTATAATGTTTTTGGTGCTTTTCATGGGATAGTAAAATTTCTGTATGTTGAGTGGAGAAGTTTGTCTTAGCTGGTGCTAAGTTGAGCAGAAGTTCTGTGTGAAGTTAAAACAAATGCAGCTTGAATTCCGAACTCTGAGTTACCTTTTATATGATGCAATGTTGGATATTCTCACTCTGGGATACAGGTGAATGCAATCCAGATGAAAGAAACAGTTGAGGAGAACACAAGTACTACAGAAAGAGTATTCCAGGACCGTCAATATCAGGTTTCATATACACCAAGGCTTGTTGAAGTTGCTGGAATTTGTTACCATGATATAGTGAAAAGGAAATAATTTGCATAACTGTTTGGTGCATCGTAGGTTGATGCTGCTATTGTTCGGATAATGAAGACAAGGAAAGTGTTGAGTCACACACTTCTGATAACTGAACTCTTCCAACAGGTATGTTACAACTTGTGCGGATGAGGCCTCTATATAGCACCAGTCTGAGGAACTATTGTTTTGATGTCTTCACTAAGATATTTTCCTTTCTAAAGTCCATTTAATTTCATGTGTTATTTCCATAAGATATTTTCATGAGATAATTTTCCTTTCTAATATCATTTGATTTCATGTGTTAATGATAGTTTTTGGTTCTTTCAAAAAAAAAAAAAAAAAGTGAGAGTTTTTGGTTAGTTGTTCACCCTATAATCAATGAGGAAGAATTAGAGGACCTAATATATTTTTCTCTGTATAATATACCCAATATCATTCATGATGTTTTTCACCTTATTAGATGTCTAAAGCATTAAGTTAAATTATCAATTAATCAATTAAGCTTTGATAGGAAATGACCAAACGTTATTGTTCACATTTTAGCATAGTCAGGTGCAAGTCTAGTCTAAAAGTGTAGACAACATTTTGTGCTGAAACTGAATTTTTCTAGAAACAGAATAGTTAAAATTCAAATCCTTGTGACTTTTAGCTCTGGTATTATGTGAAATCCTGAAAAGCTGTTGTATTATATGATAAGACAATTCAAATTAATAAACACTTACCCAACTCTATTATTTATTTTCTAGTAAAAAATAATAATCCTTTGATTGTGTTTTTATGAGATGTCTATTTCATGTTGATATTGAAAAACTTACATTCCCTTGTATGCCAGCTTAAGTTCCCTATAAAGCCTGCTGATTTGAAGAAAAGGATTGAGAGCCTGATTGACAGGGAGTACCTGGAGCGAGACAAGAGCAATCCTCAGATATACAATTACTTGGCATAGTCCAGTTTGTCACAATCTCATGTAAATGACACGGGGAAGTTTTTGGGTTTTGTCTGGAGGCAGGATGTTTAAATCCCTTGTCATATTCGTGTACAGTAACTTGTAGCCTTTTTTCTTTTCTATCTTTTTGGCTGTCAACATTGTAATTGTAAAGCATATTTAGTCTGTTTGTTACATGTTTTTTTTTTCCTTTTTCCTTTGCCCTCATAGACTTAAATAGATTGCTAGATTTTTTTTTTTTTTTTCTGCAACCCCGGAGGTCTCTGTCGATACTTGCGCCTTCACATTCTATCATATAGAGGGATGAAGTAACCACTTAGCTATCTTGAGTAGGTTTATTACAAGATTGGTTGCTGCTGCCCCTTGTGAATTTCATTTATTTTTGTCTTCTTAAACCAAAAGACTTCAATAGTGTTTTATCATTATCCTTTACAAAGTAAAAGACATGGAAGTACCAAATTGACCAAGTCTAATTTTAGTACAGAGCTGGTGAATATAGGAGACCTAACCGTGTGTATTAATGACGGATTCAGAAATTGAGTACTGTTTGCACCCTAACCTTTTGGGTGTTAAGATAGTCTCAGACTTATAACTAAAACTAACTCAGCCAACCTTTAGTGATAGAATTGGCACCATTGTAACTGAGAAATCTCAGTCAAACAGTTATATAAATTAATCAGAAATATAAAAAAATATAGGGTGTAATAAGGTAAACCCTTGCCACATGTAAATTGTATAATTCCACAATAATATGTAGAAGAAACTAAATGCATCAAAAAGACATTAGAAATGAATAGGAATAGGGTTTTTAGGGAGATAAGACTTCAATATAAAACATAAAAAATAAACTAAAATTTTCGGATGTTCGCTGAAAAACAAAAGAAATTACATATATTTCAGACATGTATATTTTCATTCAAAAATCATCTTTTTAAAATCCAAAACAAGCCTTGGGATGTTATTAGTGGCGAAGTTAGATATTTGTAACTCTTTCTTGGTTATATGCTGTAAGAGGGCATATGCTAACAAAGTGGCTAGTTCACACCAAGAGACTTTAGTTCTGGTGGTATCAAGTCCTTTATATGTGGGCAAATGATCTTGGGTTATAACACGTGCTGTTGCCCTTGATTAAAAGAAAAAGGTGGCCGATTCACATCTGTTTCGTCCGGCACTAAGTTTTTATTATATAAACTAATTTTATTTGAAAATGAAGCTTTTCAAGCCAAATGAGAAAAAGATAAGCTTATATAAAATAAATTCTGCTTTTAGGTACATTTGGTCTTGTAGTGTTCTCCAAGATGTGTGCAAATTATAATGTAGTTCTCTTGTGAACATATAAAACTTTGGAATATGTAAAGTTGCTTAAACAATGTTTGACAGCTTATGGCAAATTTTCCTTCTATCATCGTCATTCTAGGCCTTTTCCTTTATTATTTTTTCCTCTTTTAAGATCTTTCATTTCTTTTATTTCCAAGATAGTTTTCTTCTAAATAATCTTATAGGCTTCGGCTTTTTTCTCCCTATTTTTACAATTTCCACTTCAAGCTTTCAACTTTCTTTCATTTTTTTTTTTGTTTATTTTTTCCACTTCAAAGCTTAAATATGAGTATATAGACGCAAGAGTTGCACTTTAATGTTTACCTATTGCATACCAAATGGTGGTCTAGCTTCTTGTGCATTTGGAATACATTTGTCTTCGAAGTGTGAGACGTCCTTGGCACTCATATTTAGGCCCTTAACATTTACCTTATGTATTCGGAGTTCTTGTGTCCACTTTTAATGTTAATGTCTAGCACATGAAGGACCATTAGACATACATGCTTATAATTGACTATCATTTTGGTAGAAATTATCTTTTACTCAAACTATGTCAAAAATGACAAAGTAATATATAAATAATAAGTTCATATCTTCATTTGATGTTGAATGGGCAGTTGGTCTTCAACAACCTTAACCTTATGTATTGGCCACTATTACGTGCTCAACAAGTTGTGCAAAACCTTTAGTAGATTTGGTAGAATTTTACTTCCTAGTCTCACTAGATTTTTAGTAAAAATATGAACAGTAAGAGAATTGTTGGAGATATGAATGAGGTTTTATTTTAATAATCACATTTTAAATGTGCACATAACTATTTTTTCAACAGTAAATCTCTTCATGTTTTTAATCATTTGTTGTAAACATATGAAAGTTTAAATTCATAAAATGATAAATATTATATAATTATATAATGAAATAATCATGTGAAATCATTAACAATAAGATTTCTTTTCTTTGGACATACTTCAGAAAATTTCTAGTCATGTGATCAAATATGACCGGGCACCATTGAATTCAAATAGACTAGGACATGATAGTTCACATTATCATAAAGTGCTGGTATCATTAAGCACTAGTGTAGGTGACACTACGAAAATTGTATGAGACGAGATATGTGCATTGATTTTAACAAATGATAAACACTTAATTTAAATAAATATCATAAAAATATTATATTTAAGAAGAATAACACAGTCAAGAGAGAAAGAAACAAATGAGATGAAGAAAAAAGAAGAAAAGATGAGAAGGTATAATCATTTAGAAAAGAAATTGAAGAATTGAATATGTAGGTATCATCTCTTTTTGAGAGTTATTTGATTTTCACTATAGCTCAAGAAGAAAGTTCTTTTGAGACATATAATCAAAATGTTCAAAATGTATTTGGAAATAATTTATGAAAATAAACATTTGAAAAAAAAAGTCATAGATCACAATACAAACACACTCGAATGTCATTCAAGTTACATCAATCCTATCTACTATGAAAATTCTGTACGTATATATGAAATCAAGTATAAAATTTTATTTACTCACTTTAAATTAAGTATCCATTTTCCTTGTTTTCTTGTTAGAATTGGAAATTCTATATTTTACATATCCATACAATTGAATCCTTGGATTTATGAAATAATGCAAAAAAGAAGTATTTTAGATAATTACTATTTGGCGCACACATGTTCTAAAAAAGTCACGACATTTCAAATTGTTTGTTGATACAGAAAAATTTAGTTTCATTATTTAAATGATAAATTAAAAATTAAAAATTCTTAATTCTTGACCTTTTATAAACTCTTTTAGGTTTTAAAATTTTCTTAATCAATAGGAAGTAAATATGTTGTCATGCATGATCTAACATTCTTTAGATATCCTCACTAAAGTACTCAGTGAAGATGAACCATAAAAAAATTAATGAAATTTTCATCACATCCGAAATCATATATGTTTTATGTTGCCTTAACCTAAATATTTTGCACGATGAAATAATCATCACGCGACATTTATCCCAACACACCCAATGTCGTCATATCACATTTTGTACTTAAATAATGGAATTTCAATTTTCAAGCTTTATTTTATAGATATTTTTCATATTTATAAAATTAATTTAACATCGTAGAAGATAATTTTAGATTTTATTTTCTCGAACCTTAATTGGTGACTTACCTTCACTACTTTGAGCAAATATATATATATATATATATATTTTTCAATATTAATTTAACCTTGTGGGTTCATTCATTCTTCTTCAAACATATCTTGAAAATTTTTATGTTCTTTGTTCCGTTTTTGAAGAACTTAAGAAACTCATGAATAATATTAATTAAAAACAACATTTATTTTTCCAAACAATCTCTCACTTTTTGACGAATGAACAAATTTTCATAATGCTTTTATCCATTTTAAAATAGTTTAACCACGAAGTAATTTGGGAAAAGAAATAAGCACAAATCATTAAATGAGAATTGACCAGCCTTAGGTTCTAATTATGCAGTATAAGGTGTTTGAATTAGGTCTAATTACACTCTTCTTCCTATGGCAGTAAATTACAAGAAGATCTTTAGATATACGTAATTATTAGTCTTAACATATACATATAGTTTTTTTAAAAAAATATACTTTTCTTAATTTATGAATGAAATTCAAAATCAAAATAATAAGAAATGAGGTAATCATTAAAATATTATATTTAAACGGTTATCGCCCTTTAAGGAAGAATGACAGTGCAACTTCCTAGAGCCATAGACATGAGATACCCCACAAAAACCAAATCAATTTGTTCTTATTGAATTATATAATTTTCCCCTTTTTTTTTTTTTTAAATAAAAAAAAAATACTTATTCATTAATTTAATCCAAGAACATAATATTTTCTTTCTCTATTTTTATTTTTATTTTTTGTTCAAAACAATAAAATCAAAAACTTTTCTGATTCTCACCCCCCCCCCCCCCCCCCCGTTTCCCGCACCATCGTTAGCATAAATGACAAGCAGCAGCTTCTCATAGCCAGATGGCTCCTCTTTATAGTTGGTAACGCCTCTGCATTACCCATTTCCCATTAAACCCACCAATCTCTCCGCAATCTCTCCAGACAACTCCTCTCTTTTCATCATTATCTTCTTCATCTCTGTTTCTTGTAACTGTCGCAAATATGGTCGTTCAGTCACATCCAGAATTGGACAATATCTCTCTTATCAACACATGCAAACCCACCAGCTTCTTCAATGGAGTTCCAGTGATAGACCTATCGGACCCTGAAGCCAAGACCCATTTGGTCAAGGCCTGCGAGGACTTAGGCTTCTTCAAGGTTATCAATCATGGCGTTTCTCTCCACCTCATGGCCAGATTGGAAAACGAAGCCATCAAGTTCTTCAATCTTCCCCACTCTGAAAAAGGCAAGGCTGGACCTCCTGATCCATTCGGTTATGGCAGCAAGAGAATCGGGCCTAATGGTGATGTTGGTTGGATTGAATATATCCTCCTCAACTCCAACCGACAGCTCCCATCCCACAAATCTCTTACCATTTTCAATCGAAACGCAGATGATTTTCGGTGTGTATTCTTCTCCTTGTACTATAAAATTGATTTGATTATAAAAAAAAAAAAAAAATGAAGGCTAAAAGTTGGTTATTCTGAAATTTCAGGTCAGCTGTGGAAGAATACGTGGTGGTGGTGAAAGAAATGAGCTGTAATGTAGTGGAAATGATGGCCCAAGGATTGGGTATTGAGACAAAAAATGTGTTCAGCAAGCTGTTGAGAGATGAGCAAAGTGACTCATGCTTTAGGATTAACCATTACCCGCCATGCCCAGATGAGCTCAAGGGTTTGGTCAATAAAAATTTGATGATTGGGTTTGGGGAGCATACAGACCCACAGATAATCTCTGTACTAAGATCCAACAACATTTCAGGTCTGCAGATCTCTCTCAGAGATGGCACTTGGGTTTCAGTCCCACCTGATCACACTTCCTTTTTCATTAATGTTGGTGATGCCTTGCAGGTAAGCTACATCTTTTCACTTACAACAAAGAAAATGTCATTTCACTTTTTTCTTCTTTTGGTTTTGGATAAGATTTTTCTCTTCCTTGTTCACCAACCTAACTTCACTTGCTATTTTTCATATGCTCTGTGTTGTTTCCTTGTTTTCTAAGTTTCTTGGTTCTTTGGAGTTTGATTTGATTTACTTTTAATTTCTGTTGAACTCAAAAAAGTTTCTAACTTGATGTACATTTTGATGTGTAATTGCATATACGATCATATGTAGATAGATCGTAGTGCAGTTATATATATATATATATATATATTCTTTTGAGTAAAACATAAATATTGGTATATCTTTTTAATTAAAATAGTTATAATATTTTACTGTAAAAATTAAAATTTAAGAATAAAATAGATTTGAAGCAACACTATAAAGAGAAGAGTGAAGGTTGTGATCCTTGAAATGAAGTTTTAAATTGATTATGATTTAAGAGGAGTGCAGGTGATGACGAACGGGAGGTTTAAGAGTGTGAAGCACAGAGTGTTGGCTGGGACAAGGGAGTCGAGGGTTTCGATGATTTATTTTGGAGGGCCACCATTGGAGGAGAGAATTGCACCTTTACAATCTCTGCTTGCACAGCATGAACAAAGCTTGTACAAGGACTTCACATGGCGCGAATACAAAAACTCTGCATACAAGTCAAAGCTGGCTGATAACAGGCTCAGGCTGTTTGAGAAAGCTGGAGAACGATGAGTTTTGTTAGCTATATATATATATATATATATATATATAGTTTTGTCAATCCTCAAAAGGTGGATTCTCAAAAAGGTTTTGACTCAATTTGTGCCATAGATGGAAAACAAATAGATGCTTCTTTTACCTCTCTTTTATTTTTTCATTCGCCAACATTTCGTCTATCCCCTTTATACTCTCAGTTTAAATGTAATAACAACATGCTCTCCTCTATACTTTATATATGTGTGTTCCTCATCATAATTTCTCAAAGTCATATATTTGCTTAAAATTTAATGAATTATTTATTTATTTTAAATAAAAATTACGAAAGGTAATTCTCAAAATATGTTAAATTAATTTATACTGAAAATTTTAAAAAGGGAAAAAAAAAAAAAAAAAAAGAAAAGGCAGAGTTATGGTGTCCTCATTAGTGAAATTAATTTTATATGTCAAAATTTGTGTGTATCAATTGAACTATTAATTAATAAAAAAATAAAAATTATCAGTTATCTTCAAAATAATAAATACACAGTACGTAATTCAGATAATATATAATATTTTTTTAATGGAGTCAAATACTATTCAAGTTTAAAATATGAAACATTATAACATACCAATATAATAGATCATAAATTAAAGGGTAACTTACCATCTTCATTTGCTCGGTTGGGTACTTACATTCAATGGATCATCTCAAGTAATTTAATCATAAAAATAATAAAAACTAGAGGTTAATTTGCGATGTTCCTTATCTTTAAGTTTAATATTAAATTTATTGAGTACTGAGTCATTTTTTAAATGATATAAAAATTAATTGTCAATTTCATAATAAAAATTCTTAAATATTATGACAGTTATACATTCTCTCAGTAACAACTATTAATTGTACTTTAATACATATATTTTAAAATATTTGTATATTATATTAATTTATTCTTAAAAAAATGTTAATATATATATATATATATATATATATATATATGATATATCTATACACGCACACAATGGGTATCATAAGTGACCAGGACGAAAAATTTAAAAAAAAAAAAAAAAAGAAATAGATAAAGTTGCAAGGGGAAAAACCTTTGATAGTGCTGTAAATGCTAATTGTATATTTTGCTTGCTTCCTACATAGAAGTTGCTCGTTTTGTGTGTGTGTGTGTGTGAAGCGAGGAGGGGTCGGCAAATGGTTTAGTTGATGAATAATGATGGAAAAGAAAAAGGGTGAGGATCGGAAGAAAGGAGAACGAACAGAAGGCAATGGAGGAGTGACTGCAAAGGGAGTGGTGAAGTGCAGGAGAGACAGCGAAGGAGACGTCTCTCTGGAAGCAGCACCAGAGACAGCTTTCTTATCTGCTTAAACACTGCCCATGAACCTGCACCCACTTTCATATTGCAGGTCTTAATTTGATTATTCAACTTCCATCATTATTGCTTTTCTTCTCTTTCATCGTAATGCTTGACTATCCTCTTTTATATGCCATTTATTTATAACTATATTACTACATAATCATTTCTTATCAAATACATTTTCCCATATATTGCCACATCAATCCTAACTCTAGCTAACCATCTTTTAGCCCACTCTATGTACATGGGTGGAGTAGTCAAAGATAAACTAGGGCAATATAATCAGGTTAAGTAGGGTAAATTATATTTACCCATTAATAGCATTTTTATTCTAAATATATATTTAAGATAATGAGTCAAAGAAACAATTAAAATATCAATAATTTATTTTAATTTTAAAAGAAATCACCTTGTTAATTACTAATAATGATAATGCTTGCAGTAATCAATTGTTGTAACGACAACGGTACTAAAAATGACTACAATAAAAATGATTATAATGACAATAATAGAGGTAAATGTGACACTAACAGCAGGATATTAGTAACACTAGTATCTATAAAATACAATTGGTAATAAATAGTTGTAGTAATAGCAATAGTAGGGAAGCTGGTAAAAACAACAACATATGCAATGGACTAGCCGTAGTTGTAGTCCACAACAATAGCAAGTACTGATGGTAGTCAATAACCAAAAAAAAAAAAAGAGGAAGGGATTGTGGCAAAAACAATGTTAGTTGTAGTAAGGAACATGTTTGTGGCAACAATTACAAGCTTAGGACAGTTTGATAGAGCCACGATGGTGATGATAATGACAATGATATTATTGATAACATTAACGATGATAATGATAGCGTTAGGGGTATTGATAATAATAAAAATGATGGTGGTAGTCCACAATGGGAACAATTGTAAGAGTGAAAGTTTTTATAGTGGCGAAATTGGTGATAATATCATTGGTAATGACAGCAAGGTGATTGGGGTGATAATTAAATTATTCTTTTCAAATGATTTGATTTCATGGATAAATTTTTGTTTAAGATTACATGAGTTCACATCCCAATAGATATCATATTGCTAATTTGATATTAAATAT